AAGAAGGAAATGGGACAATGCGTTCGTTGGGTATGAGAGAAGAGGTTGATGATCGTCGCTCGATCCGATTTCAAAAGATATGAACAGAAGCCATATTGCCAGCCAGCCAGCTCGAGCGTCAACGGAGAATGATCACATGGGCCGTGTGACGCATTGAGCGTGTTAATCTGAACGAAGTGGTTTTACGGTATAATACGTGGGTAGCATCCATATTCACATTCATCATCCACACGAATACGCTCTAACGAATCGAGACTATAGAAGATATTAACTGAACATGAATTAATTCCAAATTTTTTCTTAGTTCAGTGTGCATAAAAGAATCATTGAAATATGATTGATACAACCGAACAATACGGTAAAAGGAATAGATGGATAAATAAATGAATATGTATATAAACATATATACACACATGGATATACACATGTGTTTATAAGGGTTGGATTATACACATCAAATGGAAACGATCACGTCGAAGCACGGATTCATTAATATGGAATATTGGTGGTCGTTTGAAAGTGGCAATTCATTGGATATGTTCCATTGAACCAAACCCATTCAGAGGGATATCTAATACCCTCAGAAAATTCACTCCAGTCCATAAATGATATCGTAAATGAGTAAGTTCGAATGTGATTTGATTTATTTGCTCAGCGAATGTTGCCTTTCATTAACTCACAATTTTTGAGCAATTAGGATGAGAAACACAAGATGCATAATTTGTAGACGATTCAACTGGAAAATTGCTAGTGCAATTTCTAGGAGAGTCTTGATGATTAAAGGAAACGTAATGGAATAAAAGTGCGTCTGAAGTATTAAAGTATCTGCAGTAATAAAAGTGCAAGTGCTGATAGGTGAGGTATTGCTCCATGCTAATGTTTGTTTGATCCATATAAGTTCTGATAGTGAACACCAATTACGAGCAAGTACAAGAATACAGCCTGGTACAAGTTGTGCCAGTATCATAAACAGATGCGAATTAAATAACTATCCGAATTTCACTTGTCATTCATGAGATACTGAAGGGAGCGGTACGAAATTGGAATAGTGGACGTGAATAGAGAGACGTTAGTTTTCGTTACAATAAGAATGAATCAGAGGGTGTATTTTTCGAAGTGAATGGTCGAATCACGCGAATGAGTTATGAGCTTATAATAAAATGATGATTTAGAAATGGGTGGGAGGATACGAATTGTAAGGAAATACACTTTGAAGCAAGGCTGAGAGCAGCTGTGCTCTGCTTCCGAGTTGCACGGACAGCCACATTACTGAATGCCAGATGAAAAATGAGACTGAAATATAAAGTATTTGATAAATGTGTGCTTGAATACAGCACAATAATACGTTCAGGAGTTTCAAAATGTGGCAAAAACTAAAAACAAAAACACCGAACTCTAGCATCTCACATCAGTAAGCTCTCTGAATTCAATTCAATCATAATGATAGACAATCTTCAAACCGTACACTTTGAATGAGGGTTTTCATATGCAAAAACAACGCAAAAACAAAGATTCCCAACATCAATTCCATCTGTTTGAATGAGTGATTTCAGGCTATTAGATAAGTGGTTTCTGATCTATGTTGCTGTAGAATGATTGAAAAGTTCTCTGGCTTCATGATCTCTATGAAAAAGATTAACCAGTGAGAATGCTTCAAAGGAACGCTCCACTGAGGCAGATGCCATTGTGATTTTGATATCGTAATACATTTCCAATCATTACATGCAAATACAAGCGAATATGGCATCTGTTTGGAATGGAACTCTAGCTTAAGAGACACTGACTATTAGGATGCAAAAATGCAATGATATTGTTTGAAATGTGCATAGTTTCGTGTTTGAATGAACATTTGAAGAGAGTTCAAATTCATAATTGTTTGATTCATACAGGATTGGGTGAGCATTCACAAAGAGGGAGATGCTGGGCGCCTCGAAAGATCTCAAGAAAACATTTTACTCGATCAAGATGCGGAAAGGTCATTGATAAAACAAAGTGTTGCGCACATGAATAGGATGTCATTCAGTAACATATTGAATTAAATTACATTCGTATTGATCGATGTTGAGAGAATTCAACAATCTTAGGTTGTAGGAGCACTTAAGTGAAATTATGGCACATCCTCGTGCAACCAGGCACAACCAAGGAAATTTTGCGAGTGTTCTTCGACGGAGTGAGTGCGTGGCTGAATGTGAAGATGAACGAGTGCAGGTATCTGTTTCGTGACATGTCTGGTGAATAACTGCGGAATTCATTCATTTCGTTGATTTGAATTGCTGAAGGTATTATTCATAAAGGCATTGTGCTATTGACACTGTGTGCTATGTTGACCTACATCGGCAACAATTCGAACCACTAACTTCTTCAAACGAAAAAAAAAATCAATTGATTGTACAGCGCTCAAAAATATTTTGTTCTGCATCTTGAACGATTTCTCATGAAGTGGAGAAAGACAGACAAACGAACAGTTGAGTGCGCAAATAATTACGAGAAAGAGAAATGGGTTGTCTTCTTGGCGTGAGAAAAGTTGAATAATGATAATCACCTAAATTAAGCCATCTGAAAACAAAAACACTCACTCAAAGAAGACTGATGTGATTTATGGGACAAAACACTTCCCGTTTGATATCACGTTTAACTCGGGTGAATTGAAAAAGTTATCAATCATACGAAGAAACTGTGCACACTTATCGTTCTTTTTTTTCAGTGCTGCGGGTGTGAAACATCTTATCAAACAGTCAAAATTTCTTATCATCGACTAAAGAATTCACGTTTCATCGGTCTGAATGAATCAGCCACACAACTCAACAATTGAGCACATGCACTATTGATCGACACATGAATGCGAGCTTGATTGTTCACATCACCTGAAAAAATAAGCTTATAAGCAGTCGATCAGCTGACTCATTCAGATAGTTTCAAACACGTCACCTTCGTGCATGAATCGTGACTCAGTTTTCACGCATCTCTCTCACGGGACAAAAACTTCAAAAGTTCGTGAGAATGACCTGATCTAAAAATTCAATTTTTTGTACCCCTTCGACGACACATCAAAACATCAGAAAAGCTGGCTGTTTTGATTTGAACGCGCCTTCATACAGCATCTACCCACAATGCCTTTACACACACAATCACAGAATCAATGCAATTCCGATCCTTTGAAATTCGCAATGAATTAAATGCGACTGACTGCTATCTATGAACACAAGCCAATTGCATGCAGCTGACGA